ACATCACAAAGTACCGAGGCTCCTGGGTGTTCCTCTGTACATCTCCACCAGTATGTACCTCAAAGGAAAAGCCAGTGTTTATGCCCAGGGCACCCACCCCTGGGCATAAACCGTGAGTGGAGCTGTGGTGGCTTTCTCAGTACCCCCTTATACTCTCCCACTTCTCTCTATGTCTTAGAAAGAGTTCAACATAACTCATTGGATAGATTTTTTCTTAGGCAGGATCACAACCCAGTCTTATCCTTCTAAGGTGAAATGAGGACTGTAGAATTATATCTGGTACTCAAACCTGTTAGAATCAGACTTTCATAGATAGATAGATAGATAGATAGATAGATAGATAGATAGATAGATAGATAGATAGATAAATGTGTGTATTGTCATACTTTAATAATTTCTAGGTTCATGTGTGAGGACAAGCATTAACTTCATTTTGGGAGTCTACTGCTTATTTTGAATCATCAGATCTAGTCTTTAACAAGTATGAGTGACTTTGGCCAATGAATAGAATAGCCCAGAGAAAAGGGGAGGAAGAAACTGATGTTGAGCTATATGGTCCCTCTACAAGAGATCACTAGTTAGCTGTTGTTGGCAGGGGCATCTCTGTGGTGGAGTCTGTTTGACAGTTACCTCTTTTGTCCTTTTTTCTTTTTTGTCATTGGAGGGGCAACAGTTCCTACTTCTGCACTGCCTTCAAGCAGCGTGTACCAAGCAAGCCAAGCAGAGTGGTACTCTACTGCAATCACAGCACTTGGAAAATCAAGAGTTCAAGGTCATCCTGTACTACCATACAGCCAGCTGAAAGCCAGACTGATAGCTACCCTGCCCCCCCGGTGTGTGTGGGGGGGACAGGGATGAGCACTTTTAATCCTAGCATTGGGGAGGCAGAGGTAGTAGGTGAAACTGAGTTGAAGGCCAGCCTGGTCTACAGAAGAAAAAAAAGAAGGTAAGAAGGAAAGAGAATTGAATCAAGATACCACACTGCCAATGTAGATCTCCTGAAAGCCTGTCTACAGCATCGTAAACAGTGCCTTCATTAAACATTCCTCAGGTTTTTCCCTGATATGGCAGGATGTTGACATTTTAAGCTTTTGTTTATCATCACATGTGGCTAACTGTATTTTACAGTGATTGAGATTCCCCAGAGTCTAGAAATTTTATTTTTTTATTTCAAAAAGAATAAATGTTAAGTAATAATTTCCTAAAAGATGAATATAGAAATAAAAATCAAATTTTAACTTGAAAAAGGATGTTAGAGAGTACCTAAGCCTTATGAGTGAAACAGGGGCAAGTAAGGCCTGTGATTGCTTGGCTTCCCAGAGGTTAGCAGCTGTGGAACTGGAGTAAGCCTGTGTGCTGGCTAGTTCTATGTCAACTTGACACAAGCTAGAATCAGCAGAAAGGAGGAAATCTCAGTCTCAGTTGAAAAAAATGACTTCATAAGACCAGAGCACAGGCAAGCCTGTAGAGCATTTTCTTACTTAGTGATTGATGTGTGAAGATCCAGCCCAGTGTGGGTGGTACCACCCTGGGCTGGTGGTCCTGGGTTCTATAAAAAAGCAGGCTAAGAAAGCCATGAAAAGCAAGCCAGAAAGCCGCACCCCTCCATGGCCTCTGTCTCAGCTCCCACCTCCATGCTCCTGTGCTGTTTGGGTTCCTGGTCTGGCTTCCTTCAATGATGAACAACAGTAAGTGTAAGCCAAATAAACCCTTTCCTCGCCAACTTGCTTTGGTCACAGTGTTCATCACAGCAATAGAAATCCTATCTGGTTCTTAGACTACTACTACTCTATTACCATGGGGGAGGGGTTACTGTGAGCCCTAGTAGGAAAAAAAAATCAAAACTGGTGTTGCCTTATAGGCTCTTTCATCAGGTAAGAACTGATAGGAGAATTGGGTGTGACAGCCCAAGCCTGTAACCCCGGCCCCAGGAGAGGAGGAGACAGGAGGATCAGACGATGAAAGCTAGCCTGAACTAGGGAGACTCTAGCACAATAAACACATAAAAATAAACCAGTCCGTGATGGCACATACCTTGCATCTCAACGCTCAGGCAGGTCTTTGAGTTCGAGCCTAGCCTAATCTATAGAGTGAGTTCCAGGACAGCCAGGGCTACACAGAGAAGCCTTGTCTGAAAAAACCAAAAATAAATAAATAGAAATGACACAGCAAACAACAACAAAACAGAATTGCCATAAAAGGAGAAAGGGGGAGGTTGGCATGGTGATTTATTTTAATAGCATTTTCTTTCCTTCTGTAAGAGGAAAAGCTATGTTTGTCCCTTAAGGACAGGCTCAGTTCTTTGAATTGCACAATGGAAGCAATGGTGTGTTGCTCCCAAACACGGTGATGAAATGAAACATGTGACTCCCTCCTTGCTTTCTCTCAGACACATGCAGGGACGGAAGCTGCCCAGCTGTAATGAGAGAGGAACAGAGGTCAGCCATCGACAGCTCTTAGTACTGTCTTCCAACCAGGCCTCCAGCCTGCAAGTAAATGACATTCTAAGCGACAGCTTGCCTCTCCAGGCCCAGAACCACACTCTGAACTGCTTGTAAGCACGTACGCCCGGGGAAACTGAGTTAACAAGTGTTTTAAAATGGTGTGTTTGAGGGTAGCCTGTTAAACTGATAGAGTTAACTAATATAACAGGGACGGGGACAGAAGACACAGCAAGGCGAGGGAAGAGGCCTCAGGAAAAAAACACACTGCCTGTGAAACATTCTTACACAGCCCCACTTAAACTCCCTTAGAGGGTAACTAACTTACACACCTGATAAACTGCCAAAGCAACAGATTTGGAGCCCAGAATGGCATGGCTTCTGGAAGAACACAAGGGGGGAAAATGTTTGACAATTGAAAAAGTTTCCAAATAGCACTCTGGATAAACCATGGTCAGTAGAAATCCAGGAGTAAATTTGGTGAGAGGTCAGGGAAAGAAAGGAGGGGGAAAGGCAGGCTGGGAGGGTAATTCTGTGTGACACCTGAGAGGCAGCCAGAGAACCACAATTCAACAGGGAGACAAAATCATTGAAACCGAAGAAAAAAGGCAGGCACCAACCCAAGCAAGACTTCCCTCAGAGGCATTGTGGGTAAACAGAAATGCCAGTGTTATGGTTTGAAAAGGATGTAGCCTCCCCCATTCGTGTGTGGAAGACATTGGTATCTAATGCAGTGTTCAGGGGTGAGGTTCCAAGAGATGTGAGCAGATTCATGAATACACTGACTTCATCAATGCATTGATCTATGGTTGTATTCATACCGAATGAACCACTAAGGAGTGATAGAAATCCTGGAAGGTGGAAGCTGATTGGAAGAAATAGATCACTACGAAAGACCTTTGAAGGACATGTCTTATCCCTGGCCTCTCCTCCGTCTCTGTTCCCAAACCAGCAGCCTCTCCTCTTCCAACTCCTGTCAGCCTGATGCTCTGCCTCCCTGAATCATTGCTATAAAACCAGCTGACCATGCATGATCCTGAAACCTCTTGGATATTAAGTCTTAACACACCTTTCCTTCCTCAAGGTTTTCCCCTCCTCAAGTATTTTGTCAGTGGTGCAAAATAATTCACAGGAGTGAAATAATAAAATTTGGACACAGTAGGAGAGTTTATAGGGAAAAGAGAAGTCGGTAAGAATAAACTGGGGTGGGGGGACACCAGGACCACTGCCATGCCTTAGCTATGAAAGAAATTGGGATGAAGCGAAGCTCCTTCTGATGTTCCAGGCTTGTGCTGTTTGTTTTCCTAAGGGGAGGCTGGAATTTAAGCGGCAATGGCAAACATCTGAGCATTCAATAACGTAATAAAGTTGAAATCAGAGTTCCTGGAAGAGACTGGTTTATCACTCCATTTGCAATATGCCCCCTCCTGTTGGCAGATAAATTTGGTTTGATTCTGGGGAAAATGGAGATGAAATCCACGGCAGCAGCGATTTTCCCGTCTGGGTCAGGAAGCTAACAAAGTGCTGTGGGCGTCGGAGGCACTCAGTGGCTTTGAATTTAGACCAACTGCCTTTCCAAAATTTCATTGCAAATATTAGTTGTAGTCAGCGTCAGAAGATTCCACAGCCCTAAAAGCATGCTAGGAAGAAACTTGACTTTGAGGATTATAAGGCCAATAAGAGAGCTCCTAAAAAGAGCTGGAATGAGCGTTTTTGTATTAAGAGACAGTCATCAATGCAATGAGGCATAAACCTAAAAATAGAGCCAGACTATGGGCTGCCTTCGAATGGTGTGAAATACACAAAAAATGCCAGGCAAAGTGTGATTAGGATTCCCATGCTTTACTGAGAAAGCTTCAAATAAGGCACGAATATTCATGCAACCCATTGTAATATGCATAACAATAGAAATGATGAAAATATTCTGCCTGAGATAATGCTAATGAAACATTAATAAGCAAAAGTTTCTGGGCAGACTCAGTGAAGGGAGAGGGCTATCAGAGATGTGGGATTCTAATGTTTATGGAAGAGCAAAGGTTTATAAATATAAAGAGGCAGAATTAAAAGTACTCGCAGTAGCAGTAGTCTGTTTTATTTTAGGAAAACATCAGGAGAAAAAAAAACAATAAAGTATGTTCCAAAATTTATTTTTAAAGATAGCAGTTTACTATCTCTCAATATTAGAAATCTGCAAAATTCTAGTTTTTCTTTATGCTTTCTTGCATTTGGAATACCTATGATCAGCTGTACCATTGTTTTAAAATGCCCTTTTTATAAATTGTATTTCAAGTTTAAGACCAGTATTGTGTATAAAAAAGGGAAAGAGCATATGTAAGTTGTAGCCTACAAAAATAACATTATTATAAGGACGACAGGAGCAGATGGATTCTGTTTTCATTTTGGTGACAAAATATGTAGGTCTCTATTCAGTATAAACAACTATGGAGAGATTGAGGTGGTGAAGAAGAAAAATATGAAAAGAATAAAAGAAAAGAAAAGATTCATTACAATCATGAGAGCATGATTTTTCAAAAGGTAAAAACCAAAGGCTGTACTCACCTGGCAGGGGAGACACTGTGATCATAAGCGTGGCTTCCTAAGGCTCAGCCATAGCCCTCCAGGTGTGGGAAACTCAACTGCTCAGTTTGTGGTCGTGAACACTGCATGGACATACTCCCTTTTTAAAATTAAAACAATAAATGGAATTAGAAGATCCACTGAATAAAAAGACAGCAGTTTTTCTTGCTACAGAGTTTTAAATCATTATGTGTATATACAATGCAATGGTTGTGAGGTATTTCTACCAAGACACAGTAAAACCGCAAGTCTGTACCCATAGGGGATCCTAGAGATGATCCAGTATCCAGTTCTACTTAGAGAGACACAGAGACCTAAGAATAAGTTTGAAATGTGAACTTATTCTCTGGCTTTTGTGCAGCTCCTGCTATGAGATTCCTGGGTTTCTCTGAAGCCTCAATGAAGGAAAGGAATGCTCCTTAGGATTAGGCCAGTGCCTGGCTTGGCAAATCAAGGGGCATGGTCAAGCTTTCTAAAGCCAAGAAGAATTAAATTTCTAAAGGGATAAGTTAATTTAAAGGTAAAGAAGACTGGCCGTGGTGGGGATGGCACTGGGATGAATTCACATTAACAGACTCAGACACTACTTAGAAGCTGTGGGATGGGTGGCTGAGACTCACTTTTTTGGAGGGCTAGAGTAGATGGAGTATGACAGGTCTGGAAGGTAGTAGTTAGTGAAAAGGTCACTTCAGATGCTTAGAGTTCAAGTTTGTAGAAAGATAGAAATAGATTTGGTTTTGTTGTCATTTTAGAGACTAGACACTGCTTCTCTCAGTGCTGGCTTTTTCTATAAGAAAAAGGTTTATTGTTTTATGATTCTTGTTCTGGTTACTTTTTTTTTTTTTCTTTGTCAAGTTGAAATGAGCTAGTGTCACCTAGGAGAGGGAATCTTGATTTAGAAAGTACTTCATGCAGATTGGCCTGGGCGCAAGTCTGTTGGGCATTTTCTTGATGTGGGAAGGAAGGCCCAGTTGATTGTGAATGATATCACCTCTGGGCAAGAGGTCCTAGGCAATGTCAGAGAGCAGGGTGAGCAAACCGGTGAAGAGCACTCCTCCATGGCCTCTGCCTTGAGTTCCTGGCTTCTCTCAGTGATCAATGCGACCAGGGAGTTGTAAGATGAAATAAATAAACCCTTTCCTCCCCAGGTTGCTTTTAGACAACGTGTTCTTCACAGCAATAGAAAGCAATAATTCTCATTATGCTACAAAAGCTCAAACCAGATGTTTATGGCCCAAGTTTGTAGAAAGATGGAGGGGCTTAGAAACAGTTACGGGTTTTGTTTTGTTTTTTGTTTTTTGCTTCATGGAAGCCAAACTCCAAAGTTTTCTGTTTTGAATGAGGAGCAGAGTTTTTCTTGTCAGTGAACTATCATTTAAATAAAAAGTAGGAGATGAAAATTGGATTGATGCCGTTTACAGGTGTGATGTGAACATCACACAAGAACACAGAAATCATTTAGAACATCAAGAAATTATTTGTCCCTAAATAATAGAGGTGTGGGGAGAAAACCTCTCTTTAAATAAAAATAAAAGTTCATAACAAAAACCTTAAAAACGAGTATTCATGTTTAGGTTATATTAAGTTGACAAGTGTGGATTATAAAATGAGCAGAATCTCACTGAAGACACACATTAATATACGTCAATAATGAAAAATTGGCATTTGATAAATATAATTGTGAATGCTTCATACCCTCTCCCTCTTTTATATCAAACTAAATGTTTTGAAAGGAAACATGTATAAGTCTTCTGAGTAAAGCATTGCTAGCTTAAGAGTGAAAAATGAAATTCTCAACTGTATTTTTCCGTCGGTAGTGCTGACCTATGTCCCATCTCCCACTAGCAACAGAGGCTCTCGCCATGATGCAATTAAACCATCTGGGATGGCCAGCCAACCCTGCAAGCTGTGGGAAGCTAGAGGTGCTTCAGAAGTGGCAGGCTTATGGAAAAATGGCTGTTTTGCTAACTGCTTTGGTTGGGTGGGGATGATGGATCTCAGCCAGCACTGCATAATGGTACCAGCTGCTCTCACTCTAGCTGCCCCAATGATCACTTCCTCCTGCTCTACCTAACAGGGGGAAATGGAATGCCCAAGCCTTACACCAGCAATCACCAGAGGAACCATTTCCAATCACCTTTCCCAGGGAAGTCTTCCAGGGTACCCTTCTTTCCACATAAGTTAGTAACTTATTTCCTATTCATTTGCCTCACGCTTATATCCCCAATCTGACTATAAAGACAGGAGCATTTTTGCTGTATCCTAAGGGTCTTGTAATGACAACCTCTAGCGCAGTGCCCAGAGCAGACTGAACACTACGCGTGTACTCTTTTTAGAGAGCCGTCTAATGCAAGAACCACTTCTTAATCTATGCCAAACAGGTAAATGCCACGTTTTTTTAATTCTGGGAAATGGTTGCATTTCAAATATCTTCCAAGACCACTTTTATTCATTTTCTTGGTGCCTCTCTCAGAATTAATATTCCTGATTCACTGGTGTGTGCAACAAAAATGGGAAATATAATCTGAATACATAACTTGGCCCATGAAATAGTATCCTGGATGTATTGTTCTTGTCTTTGATGACAAATTCAGGTTTACCTAAAAGCTTTCGCTTACCTAAAAGCTTCCCATCCTCTCTGGATCATTGCATGCCCCCAAAGGCATGTTTCTCGGTGCTCTTTAGAAGTGGCAGGTTCTATTTAAACACACAGAGAAGCCATGGCAGCCTGTACGTCTACCAAGACCGAACTTCTGTGAAGTAACATTGCAGTAACTGTTGCCAGAACTCTACAGTCCTTCAACCTTTCCTCATTTTTTTTTTGAAAATTCATGAATATGAGGCATGGTGTAAGGGAAATTTCTAAGAAAACAAATTGAAAAGTGGCAACCGTTAGAACTTGTATTAACATTACCTTTACAGCCAGGCCTGACGGCACTGGCCTGTAGTCCTAGTTACTCAGAGTCAAAGATATGAGAAGCTCAATTTCAAGCCCCATCTGGGCTACCTAGTGAGTTCAAGGCCATTCTAGTCAGCCCAAGGAGACCTTATCTCAGAATAAAAAATAAAATAGGACGTGGGGGTAGAAAAGTGCCCAGTGAAGAAATGCTTGCCTAGCATGTATGCAGCTCTAGATTCAGTTTCTCAAAAAATGTTTAACTTTATCAGACATGCAAGTGCATAAAAGCAGAAGATAAAGTTGTTGGTATTCTAAATATTGATGATTTCACTTTTATACAGTCACTGAGAATTCCCAAACAATGTTATGGTGAAATCCTCTCTCAGTATCTGTTTATGTTTTATAAACCTCATGTAGTTTTTTTTTAAGTATCTATATTTCTAAGACACCCTTATTCTATTAGACTCTATGGTGAATAACACATTTCCTAAGAAAACGTCTTCCCAAAAGCTGTGGCTTTTTATCAGCAGTGTCTACAGAAAAGGATTCACCAAGATGCGAGCCTAGGTGTCCCTTGCTAAGTTGTTAGGATTCCTCAAAGCGGTTCTCTTCATTTCTGTGTAGCATGGGTAATATCTTTGAGAAGGATGTGGTTGCTAAGTAGATTTCTGATTGAAGGAGTTTGCCTATATTCTACTGGTCCTGACTCTCCCACTGAGCTGTTGGGAAACCTTGGGAAGGCCATTTTGAATCTCCATTTGTCCTCATTGTTTTCTCATGTGCAAAATGAAGATGTTGAATAAAACCAATGGTTTAGAATGCTTAGCAACAAAACTTCTTCTTTAATAAGATATTTTGTCAAAGCCTGAGCAATATATGACCAAATGCTTGAAATAGAATATAATTTCAATTAACTTATTTTGAAAGTTAAAAATTATTTTGTGTTCATTTAAGTATGAAATATATGAATTTCCATTCATAAATTATGGTTCCCTGAATGTCCTCACCTCGTGAACTCCTGTAATGATGATGAACAAGCCAGGAGATAACTCTTTTCTTCCAGATTAGTTTCCAGAGATAGACTACATAATTCCAGAAGCAAAAGGAGAAATTATAAAACTGAAGTGAATGTTCAAAATAGGAAAAGATTACCGCTGGTCATAGCATCAGAAGTAATCATGAAGAAGTCTCTGTTGTGGCATTCGACCAAAGGTCAGATTTATGAATTTTGGGCAAGGCAGATGAAGATTTCCAAGTGGACAGACATGGTAAGTGATCATTCAGAAGCAGAAAAAGCACAGCTCAGAAAAATGCAAGCGTTTCTGTGTGCAGGTGGTATAAATGAAGAATGAGGAGTTTGAGCTAAAGATGGGAAATTAGACATAATCAGTTTATGGTTCATAATTATGAGAATGCTTTTTTTTTTCCTTCAGGTAATAGAAAGCCATAGGAAGTTTTATTGCTGTGGCTTTTTCTTCCTTCCTTCTTTCCTTTCTTTTTGTTTAAGCAGAAAATGATATAAACAACAACAAACTAACAGAAAAGATTTCTCAAGTAATGTATAACTAGTAATAGAAGAAACTGGAGACAAGAGGGTTAATTAGGAGATCACAGTCTTAGAGAAAAGTGATACAGACCCATTGAAGACATGTCTTGTAACAAATTGTGTCAATTTTCACCCCCCATGTGGTCATATTTGGAAATGGGCTCTTAGTGCAGAGATAGGTTAAAATAAGGCCATAAGGATAAGGGCCTAGCCAACAGTACTGGGAGCCTGAGAAGAGGAGGAGATACCTGAGCACTCTCCTTCCATGCGCATGGATCATCAAAAAGCCAGGTGAACACACTGTAAGATCACCACCCGAAAGTCAGAATGGAACCCCACCAGAACCCACCCAGGCAGGCACCCTATTGTTGAACTCCCATCCTCCCAAATGATGAACCAATACATTTTTTGTTGCTGAAGGCACCCCGTTTGTGGTGTTTTATCAGTCTGAGCTCACTAAGATGGACAGTGACGTCAGGGACACGGGGTAGACTCAACAGGACTTGATAGCTAATCCACTCAGGAATGTGGGTCACAAAAGTCTACAGATGTCACTTACAGAGCCAGAGAATTAAAGAGAGGAAAGAGCCATTCTGTGGGACAAAACTTGATTTTTACTTCAAGCAAATGGGCTGTTGAATTTAAGGTATGTAGATAGCACAGCCATCCATAACCTTCCAGCAGATACCGTTGAGAGTTTTGTGGTTAAAAGACTCAACACAAATCTTACTTACTTTGCAATCATACTTTGCAATCATGTATGCCACCAGGCTTATCACATATGAACAAAATTGTTAGGGTACAATGTGCAGCAGGCAGAAGTTATGTGTCCAATGAAAGAAGGTAGCTATTTCTGTGTGCTATGTAAACCTGGAATACATGTATTTCCTATGACTCTAGAACTTTCTCACTGAAGAACTGGAAAAGTTAAGTCTATTTGTATCTACCATTCAAAATGGTAAATACAAAATGATTTAAACACCCACAACGATTCCCTTGTGTTCTGATACATGCCCCTGAGAAAGACTAAACAGACTTTAGCGGAGCGCACAGTTCAACAAATAAAAGATACTCTGACCTTGAAGTAGGGTAAATGGCAAACTGTTTTTCACACAAAGCACACGTTTACTCCAAGAGGGTTGAGAACACATGAAAAGGCACATCCTACCCCACAGGGATACAGATTAGCAAGAGAATTCTACACCTGGGAATCTTGGCTTTCACCAGTTCAGTGGAAGTACCTCTGTGAGAGAAGTTGAGCAGAAGAGGAAACTACTGAAAGAGAACATGATATTATGAAACAAAGGAGCACTTCATAAATGTTCAACTAAGTGAGAAAAGAGGTAGGTTATGTAGAGAATGCCTCAAGGACCCTGGCCTGTAAAAAGTGCCGGTGCGAGTTATCAGCCTCTGATTCGAAGATGCACCTGGAAACTTCCCACTCAACAAACAGTTCAATCCCCTCAGTAGAGAAACTGCAATATCTTTGGTTTTTGGTGCTGTAAACCTGGACATGTAGGGGTTCTTGTAACCTAATTCCTACTATAGAAATTGACTCAAATAGCACACCATACCCGCTTCTCGAGGGGCCTTGCAAGCTATTTCTTTAAGCTACTTCTCTTGCTATTTACGTGACATGTTTTTGAAGACTGTGTGGTGTTATTTCTTGATTCTCCAATTCAGAATTCTCATTGACTATATATTATAATATTACAGAATATCAGGATTTTATGATTTTAGTTCAAAAATCACACACACACACACACACTGAGAGTAGGAAGGGAGAGGGAGAGGATAGAAAGAGAGAGGAGAGAGGGGAGAGAGAGAGAATGTCATGATATTCTTTTGATTGGTCTCCACACTCATATTTTACCTTATGGTTATATACACATTACTTTTGGCTAAGCTATGCAGTATTCTGTGACAAGCTTTTCTCCAGAGTGGGATGCACTGTTTTCAATTGTCTAGTCCTCTCTGAATCTATTATTTATTTGCTTTATCAGACTTCTTTTAAGAGATGGACATGATCAGACAGATTAGATCACAATCTCTTCTTCCTTAAGGACTTCCTGCGATGTGCGCTTCATTTCCTGCTTCATTGACCCAGATGCTATCTAGACCTGCCCACTGGCAGCTAGTTCCTCTCCACTACCACCTCAAGAACTATTTGTACATAAATGGTAGCTAAAGCTGCTGGGGGTTTCATGAGATCACTCTGTGAGCATGGAGAAAGATGTCAGTCAGGGTGCTTCAATATTCAGAGGTCAAGAGGGTAAGGCATGTTCACTAAAGGAGACTCGAAAGTTCCATTCTGGGGACAGATAAAGAACTGAGAAAAGCGATGCTGTGTCAGCTAAGGGGTGAAAGTGTTTCTGTGGCCTCCCTTCGACAGGCTGCCCCTGCCATCAAGCTAACACACAGAATCTGTTCCTCCTTAATTGCTTTTCCCTGATTAAGTCAGGACCAAGATAATCTTCCTGTTGATTAATTGAAAACCAACAGCTTTGAGACTAATTTATCTGCAGAAGCCTTTTCCCTTTGTCACATCCTATTGGTCAGAAGTAAGTCACAGTTAGCACTCCCATGCTCCCATGCAGGAGAGGGAATTATTCAGGGCTTGACTAGCAGGAGGCAAGAAGTAGAGGACACCACATTCAGTTTGCCTCAGAGTGGTTCAGTTGGAGAGGAAACTGTGATCCATAGGAGCAATGTCCTCTGAGGAGTCAGAGAAAGAGGGGGCAGTCACTGACCTACCAGGATACACAGCAGCTGGAGCGGGAACAGCAGTATGAGCAGCTTGCCTGGTTAGCCTGTGTCTCCATAGGTGCCCAGTGCTTCTGTGCTCTGCTCAGTCAGAGAGATATGGTCGTCCCTGGAGGTTCCTTCTTGCTGATCCTTCACCCAGGCCCAGCTTTCTTCACTCTCTAGTTTGGTTAAGTTTGTTCAAAATTCGATTAGACAATTCTCATTTTCCTGTTTTTTTTTCTTATTAAATTTTTGATTAAAAATTAACTGTGGGGGGAAGGGGAGGAGTAGCTAGGTCAGGGTAGAGCTGAGAGGAATAAAGGGAGAGATTGGGAGTGGATATGATTAAAGTACATTGGATGACATTCTTAAAGAATTGATAAATTTTTAATTGACAAAATAAACATAGTAAAAACCTTCCACTTTATCCATTTTAAGAATACAATCCAGCAATGTTAAATATATTCACATTGTTATACAACAAATTCCAATTTTTTTTTCTTCTTACAAAACCGAAGCTCTTCACCCACTAAAACAAGAAGTCTGCCTTCTGCTGTCCCCAGCCCCTGGCAACCCGCCACTCTTTCTGTTTCTATGAATTTTGATGATTTTACTTGCCTTGTATCTGTAGACTCAAACAGAATTATTTTCTTAGGATTGATTTATTCAACTTAGTATAATGTCTTCAAGCATGTTCCAGAATTGTTTTCCTTTTAAACAGCAAATTCAAAGCAATTACCGTAATTTTATTGGGGTCTCCTTATTTTTTTGTTTATGAGATTTCCCCCATCCTTTTAACTATTATTTTGGTGGGAATTTTTTAAAGCAGAGATAAATGTGTATCCAATCTGTTCTCCAAAAAGAAAACCATATTCTCTTTGTGAAATATGATGGTTAGCATGGAGATAACCTAGAACCCCCGCACAGAGGTAGCCCATGGCAGTTCAGTGTCCAAGTGGGTTTTATATTAATAGGAACAGGGATTGCCTCTGACATAAACTGATTGGCCTGCAATTTGATCACCTCCCCTTGAGGGGGAGCAGCCTTACCAGGCCACAGAAGATGACAATGCAGCCACTCCTGATGAGATCTGATAGACTAAGATCAGAAAGAAGGAGAGGGGAACCCGCCCATCAGTGGACTTGGGGAGGGGCATTCTTGAAGAAGGGGACAGTAAGGTGGGATTAGGAGGGGAGGTTTATGGGGGGATACAAAGTGAATAAAGTGTAATTACTAAAGTTAAAAAAAAGAAAAAAGAAGGAAAAAAAAGAAATATGATGGTTAAGGACATACTCTTTGATGCTTTTTAAAATCACCTTAACTTTGCAGGATCCATTAAAGAATAGAATTACAGAGGAGTTTGCATCTAGTCTGCCTGGAGTCTAAGACTATCTTTTTGTTTATTTTGTTTTTGTTTTTTGAGACCAAATTGTAGACCAGGCTGGCCTTGAACTCAGAGATCTGCCTACCTCTGGTTCCAGAGTGCTGAGATTAAAGGCCTGTGGCGCCGTGATCTAATGAATGCCCCTGTCTGCAATATATAAATTCTTAGGCTCCAACTCACACCTATTGAATCTGAAAATCTGGGAGTAGCCTGTAGTACCAGTATTTTAATCAGATATTTAGGGAATCAGATTCTTCTGGGGCTTGAGAGTCTCTAGTCTTCTGGACATAACCCTGCAAAACTGCATCTAGAGATTGAATGTTTTACTTATGTTAGTCCAAACTCTCAAGGTTTACAGGCTACAGGCTCACTATCTTTTGGCAGACGTGTTGTGAATTGTCTATACCACTTATAATACAAATAGGTAAGATTTTTCTTAGTAGACAAGGCAGGCCTTGTCAAGTATGTGTTGTCAGATCTTCAGCCCACATCCCAGTTACTGGACCCCCTCAGTCAAGCTCAAGCAATCTACAGGATAGCCAAGACCATTTAGCTGAATTTGATTTCTTGAGAACCTTAATAGACATAACAAAACCATAGTCATTGGTGAAATGCTGAAGGTGTAGAAAACCAGCGCCTTGGGCAAGCATGTTTCCCATGTGCATATTTTTCATTTCTTCTTTCCTTTTTCTATGAGTGCATATTTGTTTCTTGTACCAGAATGACTCGCTCAAGATACACCCTAACTATTAGTAAGAAATATTAAATGATTTATTGACCATAGTTATTATTCTGCATTGTAAAGCTTGCCCAAACTATTGGCTTGTTCTTGATACTGTCTTGGTTTTTTTGTTTGTTTGTTTGTTTTCTGTTTTGTTTTGTTTTTGTTTTTTTTTTTTGACTGTCCTAAATTGTTTATTGGGTATGAATTTTACAAACATTATGTGTATTAGAGGTAACGGTGGAGCTGGAGAGTGTTGCGCCTTTTCCAGGCTGCACGGCAAGAGCCACCAATAGTGTGGAGGAACTTAGGCCACGGCTCTTGTGGCCAGCAGATGTCAGACCACGCATCTCTCTGTGTTTGTGAGCTGGTTTGGTGATCCACTGGGTGTCAGGATTTCTTCTGATAGCTTTATGGAATGGATCAATGAGGATAACCTCAAAAAATTTGTATGTGGAATCTTCACCAACCCAGTAAGAATTCAGGACCCTCAAAGCCCCGCAGTAGCGTCCAGCTCTCTCCTCAGCAACAGATTGAAGGCTTCGGGCAAATTTTAGCTGGTTAACACCATGGTGGACAGGCTTGCCGTAAGTTGCACCCTTAGGAACTGGGCGTTTGCAGCCACCACGGCGGACACGGATCCTGTAAATAACATAACCTTGCTTGGCCTTGTATCCCAGCCTTCGTGCCTTATCAGGCCGAGTGCGTCAGGGAGCCCTGTGCAGCGCAGACAGCTGGGGGTACTGCCAGCAGCGGACCCTCAGAAGAAAGCGCATCGCGTCCAACTGCTTCTTCCTCCATAGCTCCTGGATGTATTTTTATGCACCTATCCCGGCTCACCTGATGGCTGCCGCCAGAGGAAAGGCGATACTGTCTTGTTTTAGCACTTGTGTTAAATCAATCTGATATCTCTGCCCAATTTTTTACATGTGGAAATAAATTTGGTAGCATTCTTATTGCACCTCCATGCTGAGCATTTAAAGTTCTTTTGCAACTGCTTCTAGTCTGATTCTCTGAGAAACTATTGCAAATTGCTTTGTAAATCAACAACCAACGAATCAATAGCAGTGATGTCCTTTTAAAGGATTTAAAATGAATAGTCCCTTTAAGACTCTGCCATTGCACTCAAAGGCTCAATAGCAAGTGTCTTGAAAATGAAAGCAAAGGAAATCATAAAACATTATCTCAAAGGTTATGTGGTGGTGATTAAAAGTCAGAGCATGATTTGAGAAGTGAAAATTTGTTCTGAGAACCGTCCTAGTGTAGCATAACGGGAACATGGGGATGAAGCCTTTGTCTTTCAGGTCACAGTTGATGATTGAATTGATGCAAACACAAATTGTCAGAGTGCTGGCTGCAGAGACAGCTTAAACCCAGCATAGCTGCTCTTAATATTATGCTCTTGGAAACCTCCTGGAATGAGAGGGCAACAGGTCATCTAATCCAATTACTAATCTCATGCCCAAGTCACTACTGCAGCTCTGAAGCGATGAGAGCTCCTGGCATTGTGACTAACTGAAGAGAGCCATCTAGCTCGCTGCACAGAAGACACATAAGTTGGAAACACATGTTGGAGGATGATACCTGCAAACAGGACTCTTGCTAGTGTTTGCAGGACAGTCCCTTCTTTCCTCTGTCCTGGGGGAAAGGTGCTGAACATCATGGCCAAGACTAATAATTGTCCTCAGGCTTGGTTTTTCCCCCGTTCCCCCGTCTCTTAAGTATTTGATTGGCATGTAGCTGCTCAAAACAAAGAGTATATTCCCCAAGTTCCCCACAGTAACATTTAATTGCTATTTGTTGCTGCATAACAAAGGATACCAACATTTAAAGGCTAAAGCAACACCCCCACTCTATTTTTAATGTTCACCAGCTCTGTGGATCAGAACATTGGTCAGCCACCCCCCACAGGGCTAGAGTGACTTCTAAATGCCCCACTGGCCAAAGCAGTCACGACCCCACTCATGTTCCACACCTGGGTTAGGACTGGCAAAGCTGCACTTTGGAAAAGCACATGGGCTTGTTAGGTACCATTACTTTCTCTTTTAGAAGATGGTATTTGCACAGCCAGTAAGTTCTAGCCAAATGAAAACAGGAGAAGTGTTTGCTGTGGGAGCGGATGTTCCCTTCTCGTTGCCTCTTTTCCCCTAGCTGACTGAGATGGAGTGACTGGAGGTGGAGAACTACAGAACTCCAGAGCGATGAGCCAGAAGGAGCACGGATTCTCTCTCAGTGACCACTGAGCACCACAAAGGCCTTCTTCACTAGCCTGCTTTACAAGACAGAGAAATGAAATCCCATCTTGTTTTAACTAGTATAGCTAGCTTGCGCTTTCTGCTGCACAGGAGCAATGGTAATCTTCGTGCAAGCGTCATCATAAGTGAAGAAGGATGATAGAAATACATGTTAGAATGCTGGGCCTGTGAAACGTAATCGTGTTTATCTGGTGGAGAGCTTGACTAAGATTGTCTTCCAAATGGCCAGCATGTGAGTATCACATTTTTGAAGAGTTTATTTCTTACACACGTCACAATTACAATTTATAAGCATGTTGTTAAAAACACACACACCAGCATTATTATGAGGGTCAGAAACGAATTCTCTTATGGGAAAAAAATAGAAGCCTTGTAAACAAATGGATGAGATACATTTTTTAAGTATAAATAAAACAAAGTGGTATTTTTGATTGGTGTTTCCCGAATCACGTATTTTATCTTTTGTGGGGGGCAGAAAGGTAAATGAGAAAAACTAAGGGAATAAGCTAAAACTAAAGAACAGCCAAGAGAGCTTGCACTTGGACCGCTTCACAGTAAAATGAGCCCTGTAAAAATTGAAGAATATGTATTTAAACAGTTTAATTTGGCAAAAGATAATTATTTTCAGCCTCAAAATTCTCGTTTTAAAGACCAGGGCTTACTCCAGAAAGCACAAATGTGTAGTTCTATTTTTCTTTATATTGCTATATGCGAATTTTGGAGACTTAATTGAAATGACTCAAAGTGTCAGGGGAGGTTTTTAAAAATAAGCAGTAAGAGGCTAATCAGGCAGCACAGCCCTTGGTGTCTGCCCATCTGTGCTGACTACCCTGTATCCTGTTTGAAGGATATCAACTAACTTTGATAAGTGCTTCACAATAAATGCTGCCTTTGTTCCAGCAACCGGTAGGAAATGCACCAAGCGCGGCTTGGCAGGGCATCTGTAGACAAACCATCACAGGCAGGAGGCTACAAGGAGGAATAAAACCTAGTGAAAGAAAAAGGAAGTTGTCACAGACCAGAGGCAAGACTTCTTTTATCCATCAGAGAACCAGTACAGCTGTGTGACTTTAACAAAAGGCATCACGCACATTTCCCTTGCGGTTGGATTCTAGGAAAAGGCTGAAGTTTCAGAACAAACTGCGCGCACCAACTCTGGCTGGGCTAGGGGCAGAATGACGAGTGGGATCGGCCGGGGAGCTCAGGTGGAGCGCGCGGCCTCGGCCCCGCGCCCTAGGATCCCTCCGCCTCCACCCGGAGGCCACTTGAGAGGCGGCACTGCACCCGCCCTCCGAGTTGCCATGGTTTCCTGGGATCACGTGGGCGCGCGGGCGGGGGCGGGGCGCCGGGCAGGGGGCGGGGCGGCGGCGGCAGGAGAGGGAGCGGGAGGAGCAGGAGATGCTGCCAACCCTCCCCGGGCTGCGCTCGCTCTGCCGCTGCCGCCGCCGCCGCCGCCGCAGGGAGCAGCCGCGCCGGGGGCCCAGTGCGCCGCGCTCTCAGCCCGTAGCGCCCGGGGCGCTCGCTCGGGGGCCGCGCAGCCCGAGACCGGACCGCGGATAGAGGGGGGCGAGGGCGGCGCCCGGGCGCCCCGGCGTGCACACCGGCAGGATGAGCATCGAGATCCCCGCGGGGCTCACGGAGCTGCTGCAGGGCTTCACGGTGGAGGTGCTGAGGCACCAGCCCGCCGACCTGCTGGAGTTCGCGCTGCAGCACTTCACGCGGCTGCAGCAAGAGAACGAGCGCAAGGGCGCCGCGCGCTTCGGCCATGAGGGAAGGACCTGGGGGGACGCGGGCGCAGCTGCCGGGGGTGGCACTCCCAGCAAGGGTGTCAACTTCGCGGAGGAGCCCATGCGCTCCGACTCCGAGAACGGCGAGGAGGAGGAGGCTGCGGAAGCAGGGGCGTTCAACGGTGAGGACCGGCCCCCTCGCGCCCTGAGCCCCGGCTGCCGCGTCCGCCGCACTCTCGTGCCCATCCTCGGTCTTGAACCCTGGGTTGAGCTCCCCACCTTCCCCGCGCTCTCCACCTTCCCATTCCGCCCACCCCCTCAGCACCCATTTCGGGCGCTCCCACTCGCCCACCTTCCTACTCCGCTTTCTTGTCATGCCCTCCCTTTCTCTGGAGGTGGAGAAATGAGAGGTGGCGCTCCTGCGGCCCCCCTCTGTCACCTCTCTTCCCGGGGCGGTTTGGGGTGGGCGTCTTACCTTGCTGGATGGTTAACTTTCCCGTGGTTGGAGACGTCTTGGGCTCGGAGAGTACCATTGTGCATGAAGGGCGCTTGCCGTCCTCCTTCAGCCCTTAAATTTATTAATGGAGTGTTCGGGGAGGAAAGCATGTAGGACTGAAGAGTGTGAAACCGGACTCTCGGAGGTAAATTAATGATAATAGCTGTGACATCCTTGGAATACGAATAATTTATTATTTTCCAGTTTTCCAATACCATGTGGTGGAGATATTTTTGGACGCATAACAAAGGATCATATTTAGCCTGATGTCTAGGGGGTCTTTGGTAGGAGGAACTAGGCCAATGATTTTCTTTCCTTAAAAAAAAAAAAAATACAAAGCTTATTTTGAATGATTTTGAATTTTTAAAAGTGTGTGGGAAAAAAAAAATAACACCATGGGAAGTTCTAAGAGCACGTCGGTTGTCTTAATGAAAAGCCAGTGAGTAAGGACCGTGCCAGACGCTGGAGCTAGAAAGAATGAATGGGAGAGAAAAGGAATGTTCTTAAATAGCTGCTTTTGGCAAGCCCCACCTCTTAAGCCTACCACTGTCTTCACAACACACCAAATACACACGCATGTTTACAGGTAATTGTATTTACACAGTGTGTCCAAAGACATGTTTTCCAGGAACCCCGGCTAAAATACCATGATGTGCAAAGGCACAAGTGTTTTTCTTTGTGGTGTAAGGCAAGCACGCATGCAGCTTTTATTTATTTATACTGCTGGTGATTTGTGTGTCCACAGTGCATTTCATACAATGAAAACACTTAAGTGCCGGTTATTTCATTCCCTTGTGTCCCTTCCTAGGAAGATTTTCATTTCTTTGCAGAATTAATTACATGTTACATGGGTGATAAAATTAATGCATTCTTAGCTTGTGTGAAACACTGAAACCCTGGACATTGGTGCCCTGTGAATGTGAAAGGGAAGATTGCTATTTAAATTTTTAATTTGGGACATTTGGGTGCTTTCTGAGGACAGGCTAATCATAGTTTTAGTTGCCCCCCTCCCACTAAAGCAAATGCTTGTACTGCTAGGAAGGAGAACAGAGACATTTTAGAGAGATAGTAGGAAAGAGACAGTGGCATCGGATCCTTGTGTACGCACGCACTTGTGCACACACTGTGTGTCTGTGACGCAAGGGTGCACACGCAGGCAAGGAACACACAAAGGAAAAAGGGACCAGTGTCCTAGATGGGAGGCAAGAAGAAGCTGGGAGGCTTGATCAAGAACCTCTGTGCTCTTTAGAGCATGGCGCTGACAGAGCTAAAACCTGTTTGTCTAATTCTCCTGAAGCACTTTGCAATGGTTTAATTGCAAGA